GATAGAAGTACGTCTCTCTGCCACTGAGTGGTACCCTGCTTAGCACAAACACCAGCGATGTGTAGATGGTAACTGCCTTTGGAGCAATTAGCTTCTTAGTCCACATTAGGTGGGGTCCCTGCTACCCCACTGCAGGATTTAATTATGACTCCTCCCATCCTGAGAGGATGAAATGTAGCGGGGGAAACACTGAGGGGTCCAGTGGTTTGGCCAGTGTTTTTCCCCTTAGTGATTCGTTATAGTTTTTGAAAACACCAGTTTGGCTCTTTTCCCCTCTAAATAGCATCTTAGAGTCCATCATCATCAAGCTATTGCTGCATCCTCAGGAAGACATGGAGGAGTGTGACCTTTGTAGTGAGGGTGAGCATGAGCTTGGAGAAAAGCGATCCCGTGCAGGGCCCATCCTCCTGAAGGAAGAGTGCTGATAGGGGCCACGTTCAACCCGGCACAGAATAAGGACGAGTCTGCCTGTTGCTGCCTTTCACAGGCAGCGCCCCCACCCCACCCCCCGTTTTCAGTTCAATTCTTTGACTCAACCCCATCACCACACATCAAGATGGCTCAGGGGTTCTAGTCAGGGCTTCCAGAAACCAACCTTTCTGTCTGGGGGAGTGGGGTGGGGTGAGGTGGGGTGGGAAGCCAGTTCTAAAGGTGCTAGATCATCCTTCTTGATGGAGGATCACTAGGGCTGCGCCTGGCTGTGGTCCCATCTTAGCCCTGGAGGCTCTCCCAAATAAGGGAGGCCAGTGTAACAGCCAGCCAGCAGCCAGCAGCTGCTGAACTGGTCTTCGTGTCCAAGATGGTAGAGTTAGAACATGAAAAGTATTCATGTAGTGCTATGGAAGATTAGAAGCATGACCCACAGAAGAGAAGTAGTTTTATCAGTCAATACAGTGGTGATAATGATACCTTTGTTTCCTGTATATGACAAAGACCCTTCACTTCCTAAGCATGGGCCTGTCTTTGAGCATGCCCAAGATGAGAAGAGCCATGGTGTCAGCTTGTCCAAGGACACACATGGCTAACACTGAGGCAAATGTGGTCTACATCCCTCCTGTGGCCAAGTTGGGCTTCCTGGTCTCAGGTGCATCTGACTATAACCAACCTCCACGGGGCTTGCCCATTCTGGAGACATACACAGTAGTTACACATTAAAGAAACAGGTCTTTTTCCTTTAGCTCTGCATGATACCGGGATGCTGAGTTGGGCATTCCCGTAAGAGTAGCTCATGCCACATCAGTTCAACGCACAGTTCTTTGTTCTTCTAGCAGGCACAACCTGCAGACGTAAGTTTGGTGGCCGCTTAGCGCTCCCATCTAGGACCCGACTCCACAGCGGTCCCTGCTGATGGCAGGTACTCAGCAATACAGACTTGGATGTGAGTAGAGAGTGTGGTACAGTATGTTAGGCTGTTGTGGTCAAAGTGGTAACAATGTTAGATCTGTGTACCCTCATTAGGTGGACAAGAGCTTTGCCCTAACCAGCCTTGACCTTGGGCACTTGAACAAATTTCCCCATGGCCCGGGCTGTGTTTCTCCATCACAGACACCTCTCACGTATGGTGCCCCACTTGAGTCCTGAGACCCAGGTGGTCCAGCTGCTGTGCCTCTCCTATGATCCTCCTGTCTCCACGCTGCAGTGACCAGGACCTCTCAGCATGGGAATCTATCTGTCCTCATCCCCAGGCTGGGACACTGCGTCCTCCCCTTGCCACAGACGGACCTGCCAAAGTGCTAGGTTCATGGAGTCAGGAGGTCCTGCTGGCCTGTTCCCACTCACTTGCCATAGGCTGGGACCAGGTTCTGGTGATGTCAGGATGGGTTGGGGGCTTGGGGTCTGGTACTCTGGGATTAGTTGAAGGGGCACAATGTTCTTTTTCCTGCCCCTCCAGTTTCTGTGTTCCATATTTGTGTTGAACTCTAATGCTTATTAAAATGAACCTAAGGGATTTTCCATGATATCTGTGTGATGTGTGTAACTGGAGACACGTCCCATTCGTGCTTGAGATGCCAGACGGTGAAGCAAAGCTGTTTGGATAACCACCTCTGTGTGGGCTGGGTTGACTCTGCTCCCAGACTCGGCAGGTCCAAAGCTGTGTGCCTGCCCGACAGCCCTCCACCTTGGAGCCAAGCATTCAAACAGATGACCACATGTGCTTATTCTCATTCAAACCCCCACAAGTGGCCAAGATGCAGCTTTGCTCATTCCAATCTGAAATCAGCCACACTTCCCATCTCACCAGCCTTCCACTGTGGATTATGGCCAGTTTGTCCAACCTGGCCTGACCCTAGAGTATCCCACAGGTGCCTGGCATTGCTTGGGGGTCACAAGGGAGACCCAAATTTTCCAGTTCCCTGTATTCATTTTGGTGGGGTGCGTGGGAATGGCAGGAAGACCACAAGTCTGCTCTTGTAAACAGTACCTGACTAGCCACCCCTATGTTCATGGCGCTTCCTGGCCCCATGATGAAGCCCCCAAGATTCCATGCAGGCCAGCCCTGCTTCCCAAATCACAAAGAGAAACCTAATGATTAATGCCCAACTTGTCACTCCGTCTTAAACTCTTAGTTTCTCCAGGGAGTAGCGTGTCCCCGACATTTTAGTAGCTACTGTTCATTGTTCTCTTCTCCACCCTGTGTGGTAAACATGGGTGATACCAACACCTGCGTTTATAAAAGGGCCGGGTGGTAACTCAGCCCCTGGCAGGTTCAAGAAATGAGAGCGGTACCAGCTGTGGGCAGCTGTGCTCTGTCCCATGGCTGATTCACTGCGGGCAGAGGAGACTTGGGACTCCAACCCCTCATCACCTTTTCTGAACCAAGGAGCCTTGATGATCCCAGCTCACCTGTGTGGGAGACTCATATCGGGTCAAGTAGGAACCCAAGTATCAGATGGAACCCTCCCGATGGTTGAAGGTCGTTCTCAGAGCAACTGCTGCATTAGTGAGTGGTACCAGTGGACAACTGTGGTCTTCTGACTCTCTGAGCTCTCATGCGTGCTGATCAGGTCCAGAGCCTGTCCACTCTGGGGTCTGCATCAACTGTGCACGTGTCCACATGCCTGTTTAGACTATATTTCTAGCCTGGTGGGCGAGCTTAACTCAGCGAAACGAGGGGGCTCCCTCTGAGCAGGGGCTGCCAGGCTATAGTGGTCATTTCCAATCCTCCCCACTGCAGCCATATATCTGCCCAGGTCTGTGGAGTTGGCAGACGGCAGATGCAGCTGAAGGACAGGACAGCTCCCTGGGCTATGGGGTCATAGACTCTTCAAATCCTAGAATACTGAGCCAAAGGGGACAGATAGGACTCTCTGCAAGTGTTTTCATAACCAAAGAGGGCGAGGGGAAGTTTGCTCCACAGGATGTCCCCCCACCCCCCACCCCCACCCCCCAATGGAAAGGGTTTTTTGAAAATTGCTGATGCCTCTGCAAGCCTTTAAAGGCTATGAGCATAGTACCCAATGTCATCCACTAGATGGCACTGGGAAGCTGCAGGAATTAGGGCCCACATTGCATTTAGCCCAATTCAAGCTGGCCAGAAGTGGTAGCCTTTTGTGTGTGTGTGTGTGTTGGGGGGGGGGGGGGGTGCCTCCCAGGTGCTGGGATTAAAGGCATACACCATCACACCTGGCTCACAGCTTCCTTCTTAATGAACTTCAGGACCAAAACATGCCTGTGCCTATTTTTCAGTTCCAAGATGCATGGGGTATTCTCTGGGTGACTTTCATGAGATGGGACTAGACTGATTCTTGCTCCCCTGTAAGCTGCATCTAACAGTAACTGCACAACATAGAGGTGTCCTGTATTCCCCAACACTACCCACCATTGTTTTCACACTGCCCGAGCTCAGGGGTCTGCTGCTCAATGAAGGGACACTAGCCCACTCGAGCATGGCTTTGGCAGGCCTTGACCTTCTCCCCCATCCCCTCTGCCTTGCTAAAAACCATTAGATCACATTCCTGAAGCTAGCCATCAAGGTCTGTTCCCTTATTTGGCCAATCCCTCCTCCTGAGGCTGACGACCAAGGTCCAGCTATCAAAGTATTGAAATCCATCAATCAAAAGGCCCCTCTGGCTCACCTATTTAACATGTCCAATTAAAATGACACACCTCATCTTAACATATGGGTTTCCCATTTTACCTTTACAAACTGGCATTTGCCTATGGGCCACGGCTGTCTCCCCTCTATCCAGAGGCAGTCCTCTGTCCCTCAGGGACAAATACTCCTTCCCCCTCTCCCTCTGGGACAAATAAATTTCCTTTGTGCTGGGGACTTGGTCTTAGGGGTCCTGAGCTGATACTTCTACTTTCAGTCCAGGTGCATCAGATGTGTGATACACATCCTTATAGATTCCTGACACTTAGTTCTGGTGCTTGGTGCCAGACTTACACCCCTGGGTGTCTGCCACCACCACTATCAATTGGGAAAACACAAAGGTTAAAGCTTAGCTTCCGCCTCATTCCAGCCTATGAATCACTGTTCTACATGGAGGGCCTGAAAGCCCGACTGGCTGAACTTGCCCCCTGTGCGACAAATAAATGAATGAGTGGTAAGTGTGCCTGTCCCTAGAGCACGGGGGAGTGAGATAGCAATCATCCTCAGATGAGTTACAGTCTTATCCCCAGCCTGTGCTCGGCACAAAACCTGTTTCCTCCAAGATGGTGTGTGTGTGTGTGTGTGTGGCAGCCAGGGCTAGCCTCTGGTGTCTGTAGACTGAGGGGTTTTTGCTGAGACTTAAGATGGCTGGCTGGTGATGGCTGCTGGAGCCCTACATCCAGGTGAGTCTGGAGGGGTGAAGCAGAGGGACAGCAAAGTCTAGAGGGACCGGCCCAAAGCCTTCCCCAAATGGCTTCTAGAAAAATCGAGGCCATAGTAGTAAAGGCGCCAGCTGTGGGCGATGCAGCAGAAAGACCCTGAAGCGGCCAAGCTAGCCCTTGACTCTTCAGACAGCGACACACTCTGGAGCCAAGAGCTGCCAGCACACCTGAGACCACACAGTGTGTGTGGAAGCCAGACAGGATTTATTAGCATCTGCAGAAGCATGAGATAATGTACCACAAAACAGCTTTGATTTTATGACACAGATTTATGGGAGGGGGGGTTGCCAGTGTACAATGTATTCAGCAACAAGGGGAAACATAAGTTTCACATTTTTAAGAAAAGGTGATGGATGACACCTGCACTTGGCCTTAAAATAAAATATAATTAAACCACGGGAATCCAGCAGAGACCAGCTTGATTTACAGTTAGCATCAGTCTTAACCTAATGTCACCATTATAAGAAACTGCAAGACTATTAGAAAAATAGAGCCTCAAACAAGCAAAAATATATATACAATTTACATAATGAAAAAACCACACATAACTCTTTTAATAATGGCTCCATGTTCAGTAGAAGGAAAAAAAAATTGTCCCGGAGAAACCACGACTATTCAGGTTTGATAATAAACCAATCCTCATCAGTATCCTTAACCCATTGAGGCTGCAAGGCACAAACAAAGCAGGAAATATCTTAAATACATATATATATTATAATTTCTCAAATGGGAAAATAAGTCCCAAACTCAAAAAGCTTGGCAAGGAACACAAAGGTAACCCTTGTCAATAAATTAGTCCACATGTGTCTTCCTAAACCTTGCTTCCTGGCCCTGCTGGGCATTCCAGCGCCCTGAGAATATGTCTGGATGTGATCTTTCCTCTCCCCCGGGCTCTTCCATCAGCCATTCAGTACATGTAACAGAATGGTCCAGGAGGGCTCCTTGGTCACTATGTCCCAAGACCCTTGGCCACACCACATTCCCAGCTCAATGGAGCAGTGGGTACAAAAAGACCGGATTAGAGGAAGGGAGGTGAACCCCAACTGGTAATTTTTTTTGCCTTAAAAAAAAATCCATCACGACCAAATTGGCCTCAGGAGTGTAGCGAGTTGCACCCACACCACTGTGTCAATAAAGCATTTCATGACCCCAAACTAGCCTAACAAAATGGAGGCGTGCTCTCCTCCAAGGAGCCTTACGTACAATCTTCTCATTATGATAGCAAACATAAGGTCTGAGTTACATAAAAATAACTGTACATAACATACATTCAGTTCTGAACTTGAATTCTGTAACAGTTCCATGCATCATGTATCCTCTGTCCAGCGATTCCCTTCGCGAGGAGCTCAACCGGACGTGGACTCAAAGTTCCTTTTCCCACCACCCACCAACACCCCAAGGGATGGGCACCCTGGCACTTAGATTCCCCCCCCCCCCCAAGATTCCTTAGTGCTTGGGTGCCAACAGTGAGCTCTTATTAGAAAGATGTAAGTATCTGTGGAGACATGGGACATTCAAGTCAGAAAGGATGGGCCCTGGTGAGAGCCAGGCATGTTTGCATTGTAGGTAGGTACACAGGCCAGCAGTGCCTGCCCATGCTTATCCCAGGAATCCGGTTTCTCACGCTGCTGTTTCCAAGCGTCATCCAGTGTTCGATGAGTTCCTCGCTAGAGGGGATGTAAACACTAGCCAATTCAGAATGTCTGCCTGGGGTCAGGGGGCAAGGCACCAACATGCCCACAGATTTTTCTCAGCCCTATGCATGAAAAGCAGCAGGCAACAGACAGGGTGGAATGGTGTGCACACACCGGTTGAGCCGAGAATGTGCAGGTCACTAAGGGCAGGTGGATGGCACATGGTGTCCAAACCACCTCATCAGCACAGGGGACAGGACGGCTGTCAGATGGAGATGTGAGATGATGGGGCCCCTGCCACTATAAAACCAAACTGTGAGCAACCAGAACAGCACAAACCCAGCAATCTCCCAGAGAACTGCCCGGGACAGGAGGACTCCACTTGGTCCTTGTCTGCAAAGTAAATCCACCACTGCCTGGCTGTACAGTGTGGGCAGGGATGGGGTATGAGAATGGGTGTGTACACATGCTTCCACACATATACATGGGGGCCCAGTGTCTCTATAAACAGCATCCCCCTCCCCCACCAGGGCCACCTTCTGGAAGGCAGAGACATCTTGTACCCCACTCCTAAACAGAGTTCCCCGGGTACTGGCTTCTTCATGGACTTCAACGCAGACACAGGAAGGGCACAAACTCATGGGAAAACGGGTCTTTCCAATGTGAATACTCTAGTCGGACATAAACGAGGCCTGGAATGTGTCTTTAGAATGTCCAAGTCCCAACTGGGTAGGAAATACTGGCCAAGCTGGGCGACAGAATGAGACCCTTCTGTGGGTAGGAGGCTAAGAGATGGCACACTGTCGGGTTTTGATTTTTGCTAGTGTGTGTTGTTTTGGTTTTTGTCTTGTGTATTTCAGGAGAAAGAACTGCGATGGGACAAAAATCGTATCAGAGGCTCACTCCAGGAGTGAGCCTCTCTGTGTCACTGTCCCCCACCCCCACCCCAAAGCTCCCCTGGCAACTGTCCACTCTTAGTAAAAGCACAGTGGCCAGTCAACTTATCATGCAGGTCACCCTTGAGCTTCCGTTCCTGACTCGGAAGTGGGGACAGGGTGCCTGCCCCCTACAACCGGGGCCTGTGTGGGCTCCTGTGTCTGCCACCGTCAGGAGTCCTCAGGAGAGATGGCGGCGGGTCAAACCCCTGAATACACCTTCCCGCCTGGCGGGCTGCGGGCCGCTGGCTCAACTGTCAGCTGTAAACATGGTGAGGCTGCCTGGGACAGGGGGGTTCCACGCAGAAAGCAGTAACAGCGAAGGAGTGGTGGCTCCGACCTAGAATCCAGTACTCAGGAGGCTGAGGCAGAGGCTAGCCTGGGCTACAACGCCAAAGTCCAGGTGAGCTACAGAGCGAAACCTTATCCCGAAAAAGAAACCAAAGAAAGAAAATAAAGTTAACAGTATTCTCCCAGTACCCCACTGGGTACTCCCTTCACTTTTGTGTACGTAGAAAAATAACAAGGGGAAAAAAGAAATCAGACAAATATTTAACAGGCCCTCAGAAGACAACAGATAATCAAGACCTGAACAAAATAAGTTAATAGTTATCAAAATATTTTACAGCACCAATCTACATAAATTTAAATACCTTTCTTTGGAAACTCAACCTTTAGGGTCTTACAATACTCCCTTTGGAATATTCTCGGACAGCCTGTGAGGCAAAACACTGGGAAGGTGGTCAGGGCCTGGCACAGAGGCCTGGACTGGCCGCCCAGATGCCCTCCGCTAGCTGACCTCGCCTTCAGGCTGTTTCACTGATTGCCTAATTTTCTGTAGTTCTGGGGATGGAGCCTGACGCCCTGCACATGCTAGTCAAGCCCCCTTGCTACATGCTATCTTGTATTTCCAAGAACCTTCGAGAACAGCGGGGTGGACAGCGCCATCGGTTTACCCAGCCTGTTTCCACCAGACGTGTGTCAAGGGCCAGACAGGAAAGAAAGCTAGGTCAAAACATCATCATCTACACTGGTCTAAGACACTGGCCTTCCCCACCCCAACATCGGGGAGGGGGCTGGCTCTGAATGGTTCTAGAATGAGAATTCACCCGCCATCTCATCATCCTTGGTTGGTCTACCCAGAGTAAGGGAAAGAGTGCAGGCCCTAATGGCCCACGCAGAGAGCCGAGGGGCACGGGGGAGGGGAAATGCAGGCATACGCAGGGAGCCTATGGAAATCTCACCAGCAGCAGGCAAAGCCACCACAGCACGCGAAAGACAGAAACTACAAGAGGACAGCAGGAGGACCCCAAGCCACGTCATGTGCAGACCTCACACCGTGAGCCACAAGCTGATGGCACTCGGCAATTATTTGGCTATTTTCCAAGGTAACATTAAGCCCCAACTTAATCTGGTGGAGTGATTCATAGCAAGCAACAGGAGGACTCCACAGCACTCCTCAGATGTAAGAGGCCACACGGATCACATCAGAGGCCAGAAAAGCGCCACAGCCCCCCACTGAGAGCCAACACCTGTCTGAAGAACCTTAGAAGACCCAAGAGCCTGACTCAATCCTAATAATACGACCTCATGTTCCGTGACTCAGGACAGTGAGGGCAGATGCCAAGAGCAGCAGAAGCCGATGCAGGCCTGCCTGGGATCGGACTAGAGACTGTCCCCTGGTCCGTGTGAGCAGAGCTGGCCTTCCCACCTTGACACCACTGATCCCTCGAGGGACCTCCCATCTTCTATGCTCCAGATGAATGGGCCATGCCATGCTGGGGTCGGTCACAGTTTTGTCACAGAGGCTGGGAGAGGGTGTGTGGACCCCAGGCCGGAAGTAGTAAGCTGAGATCAGTTCCTCCTCTTTGGGTACTCTGCGGTTGATCGGCAGCTGGGCAGCACTGCCGGGGACATGCGGTCTCAGAGGGCTAGTCTTGCATCTTGTGGTCGGGAGGCCGTCCTGACTGGGCTGACAGAGAGATGCTGGCTAAGGATCTGGAGTGTGTACATCAGCAATACCAGGGTGGTACCGGGAAGGGAGGCCTGCTTCCCAAGTAAGAGAAGAAGGGGGCCTTCCTTCTTTCTGCTGGGGCTGCAGCAGCAAAGGGCCCAGCTGGCAGAGAGAAATAAGACCAAGAAGCTGTCCAGAAGTGACCAGGACCTCATGAGCTGGCTGCAGGGCTGTCTGTCCAGGCTACAGCAGCTGCGGCTGAGGCTGCAGTCCAGCTCACAGCACCTTTGGTGACATCGGGGATGTGAGCGGATCCTGTGGCGTGGGTGGAGAGAGTGTGAAGGTCCCGGGCCTTTATGGGCACCCCTCAACCGCTGCCACCTTGGTGCGCGAGGCTTCACGTCATTTGCACTGGTCCAAGTTGCCGTCAGGAGTCCTTGCCTGGCCAGCAGCCAGGGACGCCTCCTCACTGTGCCACAGCCCATAACCGAAGTAGATGGTGAAGCCTACAGGGAGAGAGGGGACAGAGGTGTGAAGAAAGCGGGCGGAGCTGCCAGACTCGGACTGGCTTAGGAGTCACAGAGGGCTGCCCAGGTAGACTCCAACCCCAGGAGAGGAAACACAGGGCCCTAGAGAGAAGGTCAGCCAAAGTCACTGTCCTGCCTCCACTATGACAAAGCCATGTGGGTGGTCCCACGCTGGCCTCCCTGAGCAGCAAGGTGTTAGGCTGTCGTCTGCCACTAGGTGGCCTCAGAGTACCAGACAGACACTGTTCCTTCTTCTAGCGGGTACTCTGCCTAGATTGGCCCGCTGGCTCTAGTTTTTCTACATAAGTAGCCTTTAGACGGATGATGACGGTCAACACCAGGAAATGTGGTGAGCACAGGAGGCATAGCCCTGACCCGGCCTCCAGGACTCCCCACATCTGCACACCCACGAGGGACTGGGACCACATGGCTCAGGGCCACCTGTGCAATCTACATAGGAATGCAGTCCCGAAGAGCTCAGCTGCCTGGAGTCCAGGGATGACCTCACACTCTACAACACAGTCACCTCTGTAGGGATGTCGGGAATAGTCATCCCCCACACCTCCGCCACCAAGAAACAGGTCAGAGTGGGCTGTGGGCAGCTCTAGATTGTAAAGCAAATGAGGACCTTTGCCTGGAATGTACGAAGAAAAGGTGTAAGGTGCTACTTATGAGCTTCTACTCAGGGTGCCAGGGTTGGAAGGCTCGGTAAGGGTGTATGGCCCCAAGATACACATCGAGGCTAGTCCCCCAGGCCATCAGCACCACAACCGGGCACTGAATGAAAAGGACTAAAACCAGCTCCAAGGTTAGATGCCTGAGGTGGGGGAATGGAGGTGAGGGTACATACCATCAGCCCTAGTGAAGGCTGGCCAGCACCCAAGCAGGCAAACCCAGACTAAACTGTACCCAGGCCCCAAGTTGCGACAAACCCTGGTGGCCTTCTGTCAAGAACAAGAGATCTACCATCCTATCAAGAGCCTCCCGCTTGGCATCACGCCCCACCACATGCTGCCCTGCGAGCAGAGGTACTCGGTGTGAGGTACTCATGCAGAAGTACTGTAGGAGCCGAGAGCCCATACAGGCCAGGTGCTGGCCAAGCAGGTACAACCTAGACTTTCTTTTTTTTTTTTTTTTTTTTTTTTTTTTTTTTTGGTTTTTCGAGACGGGGTTTCTCTGTGTAGCTTTGTGCCTTTTTCCTGGAACTCACTTGGTAGCCCAGGCTGGCCTCGAACTCACAGAGATCCGCCTGGCTCTGCCGCCCGAGTGCTGGGATTAAAGGCGTGCGCCACCACCGCCCGGCCCACAACCTAGACTTTCTGTCTGGAGTAACTAGTGCTTTATTAAGAACTCGCCCGCAGACCTCACACTTTAAACTTCAAGATCAAGCCTGATGAGATAACCATCTTGGGCAACAGCCTATTGAAAATATCTAAGGAGGTCCCACAACATACCAGGAGTTCAACATTGTTTTCGAGCAAGCCACTGACCACTCACGTTTCTTCACGCTGTCTAAGGTAAAAGGAGGCAGGTTCTGCAACATTAACTATCCAGCTAAGAAGCAGGAGGGAAAATAGCAGCCATACATGGCAGACGCCAAGAGAAGCTGGGCCACCAAATGTGTGCCACTCAGCAAAACCCGTGACCTCACGTACCTATCAGCATCCACACCGCAAATCGGACCCATGTGCCCTGATCCAGCTGCATCATGAGATAGACGTTCACAAAGATGCTCAAGACGGGAAGTATGGGGACAAAGGGTACCTGCGGAGACATGAGGCAGTATCAGATCTGAAGAGGCGGCAAACTCAACAGCCCGCTCCAAACAGAACTGCCCACACATCCCTCGTCAGAGACTAGAGGAGGAATGCCCATATTATCCCCAAGGTTAAACTGTGTTATTATTATTTGAAAACTGCAGATGCCTTGGTCACCTCCAATGCCAAGCAATGCATGACATCAGAACATTTAATAAGAGGCCCTTGGAGACAAGGTGTGCCCCACTGAGGACCAGGGAGACAGAGGGGCTCCTGTTTCTAGAGACAGGCCCTGACTTAGCAAGACACTCTGTGCTCCGAGGGTCCCTGAACTTAGCTGGCAAAAGCTACCCCCCTAAATTCCCAGGCCTGGTCGAGCCACAAAGGCTCAGCTTCCCTGCAGAAAAACAGTGTCTGTGACCCATCAGTGTATTTCCTACAGGCCTGCCAAGCTGCTTACCTTAAACGAGAGCTTGGTCTTGCTCTCAGGCTGCCTCCAGATGATGCCTGTCACCAGCATGCAGAGAAGGACTGACCCTGTCATGAGAAAGACTGCCCACAGCGTCCCTTCGGCCAGAGCCTCTCTTGCAAGCACAGCCACAATGCACACGATGATTATAAGAACAGCTAAGAGAGAGAAAAAGAAGAGCGGGGAGAACCCCCATATGTATCATGTATCTCCCCAAACCTTCCAGAAGGAGACTGTGTCTGTGTCATGAATTAAAGGAGGATGAAAAGCTGGTGTCACTCACCTCTTCCACCTGCTCCCCCATCCCAACCCTACTCTCATCCCTGTGGACCAGAAGCCACACAACACCAAGGCGCCAGACTTCCAACCCCTTCCCAGGAAAAGGGGAGCTCTTACCTAGGAGGCTGGCTGACACATTCACAATCAGCCCTGAGAATTTGGATGGCTCCATATTCTTGGGTGAGAGTACGGTTTTCAGAGAAAACTTCTCGGCTACCGGTAAAAAGCCTGTCTGGGAATCACTGGCACTGACCAGCTCGTTCTGGTCTACGTGATCTAACTCATCGGTGGTTCTGGCCATCTGGTATACCAGGTTAGGTTGTTCTGGCTGGTACCTGTAAAGATATGCCCACAGCATGAGTGCTGTTATCCACTTTTGTTTCCACACCCAGCCCCGTATGGACGCTCACCACTTCCTCAAGCACCCGCACACATGTAGTGAACACACGTCCATGCAGGCAAAATACTCATACACGTAAAACAATAAAACTAAATCTAGATAAAATTGCAGGTGAATCTCTGTGAGTTCAAGGCCAGCCGGGTCTACAGAACGAGGATTACACAGAGAAACCCTGTCTTGAAAAACCAAAAGAAAAAGAAAAAAAGAAAAGACACACATGTCCAGCGTGGTGGCATACGCATTTAATCCCAGCACTCAGGAAGCAGAGGCAGGCGGGTTTCTGTGAGTTCAAGGCCAGCCTGGTTTACAAGTGAGTTCCAGGACAGCCAGGATTACACAGAGAAACCCTGCCCACTTCCTAAAAACAAAAGGACACACATACCAGTTTAACTTCTCAATGATCCTTCAAAGATAAGGTGCCTGGGGCATGGGACATAGGTGGGTAGAACGGTGTAGTCTCTAGCAATACAAGAACAAAGGACAGGTCAAGTCCTTCCTACTTTGGGCCAACACTCAACCTTGGTGTCCTCACTTTGGAAGGAACAATGGGGGACCACTGGGAAGTGGTCCAGTTCTCTAGATCAAGGAAGTAGCTGTGGCCCTTGGCTGTGACAAGGCTCAGGCACTTCTCACCAAACCATTGTTGTCCAGAGCTCAAAGTTGAGGACAAAGATAAGCAGTAACACTTCCACTTTCTGCAGGAAGCTGTAGAATCCTTGACTCCAGGCTGGCGGAAGGGTAAGCTCTGTCTGCATGACCTAACTGGATGAAGCTATTCTAAAACTTCAAGTGCCTTGGAGTAACTACAGAGCCAGGCAAAACCGTGGCTCTGAGAATTGAGCCCGTGGCGTGACTTCTAAGACATGAGCTGCCTGCAGATGACGCATGTGTTTACGTGAGGGCGGTTCCTTGCCTTTCCAACCAGACAAGTTCTCACCAGCTTTTGAAAGCAGAGTGCCTTTTGAATTGTTTTGCAGAGAACCAATTCCAAGCACAAGAAGAGTGTGCAGCAGGAGAGCTAGCTCTTCCTCCCACAGAATCACCTATGCACGGTCATCTGGTCAATTAAGAAAGAAGGCAGAGCTCAAAGAACGCGTTAGTGTTGAGCTTCTAGAATTGAACAGGGGTCCATGAACTTGTCTGAGCTGAGTCTTCAAAGTCACTAGTAGGGACCAGCCCAAGTTCTATGGAAATTGGGTTCTGGAAAAAATGAAGCTATTTGCCTTCTAAGAAGAAATACCTAAAAAGAAAGAAGCTCTGGCTGGGTAACAAACAATAGTCATTGTGAATACATGTTCTCGTGACAAATGCCACCTCTGACCATCCTTAGAGCTGATTTCTGTTCCTCCATGTCCAAGCAAAGATGGAGCCCAGGAGTGTGCTTTGGGAAGCTCTGGGTGGGTGAGACACCACGGCACCAAGGTTTTGTAGCTCTAAAGCCAACTTCATGCTCCTACCCTCAAAAGATAATCAGAATCAAGTGTCCCTGAAAGCTACACCACACCATGTGGTGGGATTCACTCCCAAGCTACAGAACAAGCAGGCTACAGAAGTATCATACCGACTTGCTTTCTTTTATCTATCTATCTATTTATTTATTTATTTATTCGAGACAGGTTTTCTCTGTGTAGCTTTGCGCCTTTCCTGGATCTCGCTCTGTAGACCAGGCTGGCCTCGAACTCACAGAGATCCGCCTGGCTCTGCCTCCCGAGTGCTGGGATTAAAGGCGTGCGCCACCACCGCCACCGGGCCCGACCTGCTTTCATAGGCCGTAGATTCTGCTGATGTAATCTGGGGCTAGCCCCCGGGATCACCTATCACAGCAATTGGGCCAAATGAAGTCCTTGCCCTAAGCCTTCTAAATTTCAGATCCCTGACTCAGACCACTGCTGGTGCTGAAGACTTGTCTTTAACCTTCTAACATTTAGCTAGAGAAATAGAGGACGTGATAGAAGGAACCAGCTCATGTGCAGGAGAGGGGGCGGGGCACACGGAAGAGACGGCAAGGGGCGGGGCAGGGCGGGGGCGGCGGGCACTGACCACATTCCACCAGCAGCCCCCAATTGAACTAATGCGGCCTGAAAGTTACACCTTGCAAACTTATAAGCCATTTGTCAGAACTGCTAATATAGCCACAATGGGGCTGTTTGACGCTCGTCATGGAACCCAGGAAAGCCATACATACCTTAACACCAACACACAGGCAGCCACCAAAGAGTAGGCCAGGAGAGTGCCAATGGACATGAGGTCTACCAGGTCCTTCAATTCAAAGAGGAAGGCCATCACAGCTGGGGAGAAGACAGACATAGGATTGTGAGTGGCCTCTGCCCTCTCCTATAGTTAGGACTACCACTCATCTGTAATCCGGGGTACTCCCAGCCCCACCCCTCACTCGGCCTGTCCATGAGAGAGACGTTGCTCAGGTGAAGACAGGCTCAAGGTTGAAAGGGTTCTCAAGAAATAGTAGAAGTAATTAACATTACAATTTGCATAGAGAGTACTTTCATTTATTTTATTATTATTACTTTTATAGTCTTCCAAGCCAACCCAGCTAAGATTATATAGCTAGTGAATGGAAGAGCCAGGATCTGCACTGGATTCACAGTGTCTGGCCTCCTAGTCTATCATCTAAAGATACCTGTATCATGAGATACCAGTGGTGGGAGGTCTGCTGCTCTGGGGAGACTCACCGGAGCTCCTCTGGACAGGTAAGTAGGGAAAACAGCTATCCTCACGTGTGAAAGGTTCAATGTTATTCCTAAGAGGTACTATCCTTGTCACCAAGCCAAGCTTGCCAACCTGACACCCAACTCTGGCCTTTAGAAGAACTGAGCATACATGCTTGGGAGGTCCGTGTCAGTGAGGGCACTGGCCTAGTATATGCAAGATCTAGGTTCAACCCCCCATAGTATGATAAACATGTGTTTATTGAAAAATTCCCTGTCTGTCTATGTCAGCATATAATGCCAGTTTCCCCGTTTAAAAAATAATTGGGCAGGATCTGCTTTGGGGTATCTTCAAATCCCATGCAAATCAATACAAATTAAAGCAGGATCATGAAACTATCCGTTCCCCACAGACATCTCTGAAGCCCCATCAGATCAATGCAAGCCAAATAAATTTAAATTGACAATAAATAATAAGATTAGAGAGCAGTGGAGGCCTTCAATATAATTGGAATGCCATCCGACTGCACATGCCACACTCGCCTCGGTTCCTACTCATAGAGAGCCCCAAACTGCTACGTGTGAGGTGGTTTTAGAACAGCAAATATTAATCCGACCAAAGAGGGAAAAAATGGACAAATAGTTGTTTTGGCAAGTGGTGTGTATTTTAAAGTCACCTGGAAGGTCACAGTTTGACCTCCTTCTGTGAGCACAGCAAGGAATAATAAATAAATAATGCTAATAAAACTAGTACATCATTTGTTCATTGAAGATGGTCAATTATCAGCTGGGTGGTGGTGGGGCACGCCTTTAATCCCAGGGCTCAGGGGACAGAGGCAGCCTGGTCTACAGAGTGAGTTCCAGGACAGCCAAGGCTACACAGCCCTCTCTCGAAAATTAAGTAGATAGATAGATAGATAGATAGATAGATAGATAGATAGATAGATAGATAGACAGACAGACAGTAGATAGAGGTGGTCAGTTGTCCTGCTAGTCGCCATTTGACAAGACACTGAGATACAAACTGTGTTGTACCATCTGTCCCGATTGATCAAAAAAGACCCGGGTGCTGATCAGATCCTGCACCTGCTTCTGACATGAACACAAACAGGAATCAAGAGCAGTTCTGCCTTCCTGGGTGTGACCTGGGGCCTCTCCAGGCCACCACTGCTCTAGCTAGTCAGTGGGCTCTAACCTCAGTCACGAAAGGCAGAAATAACAGACTGCAGGACACATGGGAGTGTGTACACAGGCTTCCTTCAGCCCCTCCCCGCCCAACACACACACACACACACACACACACACACACACACACACACACACACACACCATCATACGGCTCAAAGGTCCTTTAGTTTGCCAAGTTTATCTGTCACAACTGTCCTCTTGGGGATGGATATGACTGCAGAAGAAAACCTCCTCTGCTCTGGGTCTACCACTATTTGAGGGCAAAGAGCAAAACCCTACATATGCCCCCTGGGAAAGAGATGGTACATGTTTGAAAAAAAAAATGATTGTGAGGGACATTCATGCTCCAGGGAATCTATAAGCTAAGATGCATGGACACTAGACTTGCTGGTGCGTATCCAGGAGTCCTTTTGGCTTGGATTATGCAAGAGGCCAGCCTACCAAATTCTACACAAGGAAACACCCAATAGGCAGGGAAGGTAGATGGCTTTGAAGGGATGGTTGTGTGAGGGAGTTCTGCCTACAGAGATCACAGGAGGAGTTAAACTCTAAGAATATTTCCATCCCATCTTCTGTAAGCCTGCCTTCTTTGTCTTTTATCTAGGGCTGGAGAGACGGCTCAGCCGTTAAGAGCACTGGCTGCTCTTGCAGAGGACCCAAGTTCAGCTCCCAGCACCCACATGGTGGCTCACAACCGTCTGTTAACTCCAGTTCTGGGGAACCTGGTGCCCTCTTCTGGTCTCCACGGGCACCAGTCCCACACTGGGTGCACATACATACAGACAAAACACCCATACGCATAAAATAAATCTTAAAAAAAAAAATTTTAAATGTGGTTATCTTTTCGTGAACCCCGTTCTGAGTGCAAACAGCTGTAGTTTCAAAAGCTCTGATAAATGAGTTACAGCTTTTCACAGTTCACACAAACGAGTCCACTTCAAGACGCCTCCCTGGGAACGCTGATTTAGTTGTACAAACAGCAGCAGGAGAAATGAATTCCAATATTCACCAGCAATGGCGCCTGAGGTCACCGTAGCAATTACTGGTGTTTTGGTCCTCTCGTGGACTCTGGCCAAATATTTAAACAGTAGTCCGTCTTCAGCCATGGCGTAGATAACTCGGGGCATGGGAAACATGGAGCCTAGGAGACTGGATGAGAAAAAGGCAAAACATATGAGTAAAAACATGTCACCGGCAAACAAGGCCTTAAAAGACCTAGCATGACCGCCACCAAGGAAAGGTATCTGCCTTCACCAAGATCCACTCCTCCATAGTGTCCGGCCCCCAGGAATAGAGGACCCAGTGCCTCACAAAACTCATACTGAAGGTGTAAGACCAATGAAAAGAATAGAGGCATCTAACACAAAGGAGCAGGCAACCCAGGAGAAACACCCATGACAGAGCTCTTGCATTTACGTCTGCAAGTCATTAGCAAACAGTTTCTGTTTACACAAGCTGGTGGGGAAGCACTGCGTGTGTGTGTGTGCGTGCGTGTGTGTGTGCGAGCATGTGCACGAGTGTGTGTGTATGTGCTTATGTGTGTTGCGTGCATGTATACATGTGTATGTGCGTGCCTGTGTGTGTGCACATGCATGTGTGTTGGGGTTGAGGGTTTATGTGTTACATTAAAAGGCTCCTTTACTCAAAGGAGCATCTTCCTTACCGTCAAACTAAAGGCCAAAAATAGAGCAAAGAGGGAACCCGGTTCAGAGGTCAAAGTCAGGAGCAAGAAGCCATTTCCTTGCCAAGCATCGTGTGCAAAAGTTGGCCCCAGTTCTTCGCAAAAGTACAGTGTTACCTAGTGTCACTTTCTGTGGTCTTTTACCCACAGTATGAAGATATTAGATGGAAACTGCCAGAAATATGCAACTGATAGCTTTACCTTTTTCTAATGTCAGTATAATAATGTTTCTATGATACCCTTAGCTACTGGTATCAATCTCACTATGCCAAATGTATATAGGGTTTGGAACGATCTATTGTTTCAGGAATCCCCTGGAAGTCTCAGACTGTAGTTCCCCATGGATAAAGGGGAACATCTGTATTACTAACACAAATAACTTAGAGCAACAGAATGCATGAGCCATGTCATTGGCACTGGGGTGCTGGGGCTGATACACAGAAGCCACACCACTGGCGTTGGGGTGCTGGGGTTCGGAGCGCTCAGGAAGCTCTCCTCACCTGGCGGAAAGTGCACAGAGGGAGCCGACAGCCACCGCGTACTTGGCTCCTTCCCAGTCACTGTACTTGAAGGCACCGGGCAGTGGGCTGTCGGTGTCCAGGCAGGGGTAAGGCATCATGAGTGTGAGGGCTGCGGACACCCCGAAGTAGGCTATGAAGCAGATGAGGAGGGACGCCACGATGCCCACGGGGATGGCCTTCTGGGGGTTCTTGACTTCTTCACCTAGAAGCAGCAGGTGTCAGTCAGTGAGAGGAGAAGAGCAAGAGGCATCCCATCCGTCACATGATCACACTAAAGCACAGGCCCCCCCAGGGCTCAGCCTGCAGGAACTGAGGTCTTCTGTCCTTCCTGAGACAGAGCAGGGCCCTAGGTAACACCCACCACACAACCACAGCCCGGGAGGGTGTTCCCGACCTTTCTATCACAGTTCAGCTAAGGGAGAGGCTTGTTTCCTTTGGCTGAGAAAGGCTGAGAGGCTCAAGGGAGCCTGACCTATTCAGTCTGCCAGGACGCTGTGATTACAAGGGCCTGGATGTGCAGATACGAAATCAGGCTGCAGGCACTGTCATTGTCCCTCTCTAAAGACACCGCCCTGCTTATGTTCACGATGTAACTTCCTGTCAGGCCCTGCTCCTGGGGGATGGAGGAAGGCCACAGAGGGTGAGAGGAGACCAGCAGGAAACGGCAAAGCAACACAGTCACTCCTGTGGGACCAGAGCAGCCAGTGGAATGTGCCGACAGGAAAAGAATGACTGACTGACTGCCAGTGGCTGCGGGGGAGGGAGCAGGGCCTCTCGGGAGGGGTCCACACACCTGTGGTGGCGATGCAGTCAAAGCCCACGAAGGCATAGAAGCAGGTCGCTGCCCCTGACAGGACGCCGGAGAATCCAAAGGGCATGAACCCGCCCTCACCGTGTCTCAGGTTTGTGTCACTGGAAAAAAAAAGAAAGGAAAACGAGAACAGCGAAGCTTAGAACACCTGCTGGAGTTTCATTCTGGGGACAGCGCTGCTCTGAAGAAAACGCACAGGGCCTAAGTCTCTCAGGCCACAGTCCCCAGTCCTCCAGTGAGGGCACTCAGAGGGTAGCAGGCCTCTCGTGCCCAGGGCCCAGGGCCCCAGTGGCACACACTATTAACCCTTCCACCAGAAGCATTTTCTCAGACAGAGACCTTGATAGGGAGAGGCAGGATCTAACGGGACACAGGCAAATTTCAACACCGTGTCTGGTCTCTTCCCATCCTTCTCCCCAGGAAGCCATCAGCTGGGTACACTATCTCTGACCCAGGCCCTGTAGGCATCAGGAGCTTAAATCTAAAAACAGGTATTTCTAAAGAAGTTAAGGTTTACACACGTGAACTGGGGTTTTTTTTGTTTGTTTGTTTTGTTTTAGCTAACTGCAGCGCAGCATTCCTTAAGCACCCATGTATGGGGGGGGGGTGGCTGCAGGTAAAGTGTGGGTGTCGCCTCTGAAGGCTTGTTTTGCAGAAGAACCAGGCAGGCAGAAGCCCCTGAGAAGTGACAGCCTGGACTTACAAAGAAGTGCCAAGACCAATTAGTCAATGAGAGGGGAGAAGCCTGGACTCCCAGAAGAGAGCAAAGGGCTAGTCATGCAGACGGTGCAGATAAATAACCAAAAAGCAAGGGCTTTGGATGGCTTGCTGAAGAGCGGGCAAAGGCAAGCCCCCCGTGGGCTGCCCTGACTATCACGAGGGGCTCACACAGCCTTCCGAAACTGACAGAACCAGCAGAAAACCCACAGGCAAGGATAAACCGGTCCACAGAGGGCCTGCCACACCGCTCCTCAGACCCCACGGGACACCCGAAGTCAGGCCTCCAGGTTCCTGCTCTGACTTCCATCAAGGATGAACTGTGACCTGGAAGTGTAAAACCCTGAGTTGCTTTTAGTCCGTGTTTCATCACAGCCACAGAGAAGTAATCGGGAGATCTCCAGCGTGACTGCCGGAGGAGGTCCCCCAAGTGATGGGAGGGAGATGTGGGGCAGTCACTGAGGGACAAGCGACTTGACACGTGACCACACAGGGCTATCGTGAGAAATGTAGATCTGTGGCTGGAAAAGGGAAAATGCACGAATAAATTAAATACGGCCATTTACAGACTTTAATGAAACGGAAGAGCCAGCCAGGCTCCAAGCCTGCAAAGCTCTGCTCCTAAAGTGGCAGTCTCCTGCGGCGCAGCAGGCCCTCTGGTCTTCAGATGGACTGAAGGCCCCACCCAGGCAACAAATGTCACCTTGTCTGCGAGGTCAGTGCTGTCTAAACCATCGCCCTAAGGCGGCCAGTGCAAGAATGACTGGGAAACACAATTCCTGCCGCTGGCCCATTCGATCTGCACGGACAAACCTCAACCTCAACTGACCACCAGGAAACAAGAAAAGCCCTGGGTGTCTCATTCCCGCCTGCGAACAGCAGCCAACGAAATGCGATCTCCAGGGTTTCCAAAGTCTACCGTGGAACTCCAAAGCATGTTTTTGAGCTGGCTTCACTCCACCTTAAATTCATGTGGACCAATAAACCTGGTGCAAATATAACTAACTCCAGAATGTTTGGGAATGAGGCAGTAAAAGCCCTCATTTCTCCATGCTGGAATTTAGGAAAGGAAAAGATACTGTTATTGAACTGATAATTACAGGACAGTAGTACTAGGGAGTTTTGTGTATTTAATTCAACATTTTCTTGTTTCCATTGCCGTAGTAACACAGGCCAGACATCTGGTCTGTAGCCAGTGGCCAGCGTGGTAAGTGTGACTGCTCAGATCCCCAGCATAGGACAACACTTCTCAGCCTCCCCTGGAGCTGCTCACTGGATTCTGGTAGAGGGAATAAAGACGGGGAGAGAGGGGTGTGGATGGGCTGGGATGGGATGTGGAAGAGGTGTTCTATGTTCCAAGCCAATCTTCAGACACCCTGGGCATACCCTGTCTGTTCCTTATTCTATTTTCCCTTCTGGAAAAAATCTGAAGTATGTTCGCACACCCAGTCCAGCGCTAACCAGACACGAGGCCAACAAAAGTTGTCATCAGGCAGGACAGAACAGATGAAGACATCTGGGGTTCCAAGATGGCCAGCCACTACCATAAAAAGCCAGTGTGTCTCACAAAGGTCCCCTCACCATAGCAATTTAAGCGTTAGCCTTAATGAAAAAGGAACCACAGTTTCTACCTCTTCACAACTTCCACTGTGTGTCCCGAGACACCAAGGTTCACCTGAAAATTTGACCAAGAAGATTAAAATGACATTATAAGATTTGGCTTCGTTTCCTAAATAATTGGAACTTGTTGAGGACACTGTAGGAGAAGTGTGGTGGCGCACACCTTTAGTCCCAGCACTTGGGAGTCAAAAACAGTGGGTCTCTGTGAGCTGGCGGCCAGTCAGATCTACACAGTAAGTACATCCACTAATCAATTAATTTTTAAAAATAAAACTCTTAAACTACTTCACTGGAAAAAAAAACAAAGCAAAACAAAGCACTTTAACAAAATGAGTTAAAATCATGTACTATTTAAAAGGTATATGTTATCCCGTGAACTCCATCACCCGATACCTGTATGTGATCCGAACTGCCAAATATGGGGAACTGTCCCATGCCAAAGGGACACACAAAATCAACTCACTTGTTCCCACAGAGAGGGCTAGATCTATTCAAGAAGTCCTCCTCCGTGAGCTGCCAGTTTTTAATGGACCCTTTCACGAATCCCGACACCATGATGAAGCACAGGACCAGGACGTTAATGCAGGTGAATATTTTGTTGACCATGGCTGATTCTTTCACACCAAGAGTTAACAATCCTAAAAAAAAAAAGGCATGGACAGAAAATCATGTAGAAATGTTAGCCATATAGCATACACCAGCTTCGTTCATTCAGGGATGGGGCAAAAGATGGAGGGAGGAAGAAACCCATGGGCATGGGACCTCCGAAGACCTGTCTGTCACTCTAGGAGCAGAGATCTACGCAGCCAGACAGCGGGGGGCTCCCATTCTGAGGGATTTGAGGATGCCACTGTTCTGCACTAAAGACCTGCAGAAGTCTGGGCCGTGGCAGTCAGTCTTCCAGGAAGAGCAAGCCCTTGGTGGAGGACGGGCAGAGCCTTGACCCATGAACCAAGTAGGAGAAAGACGCTACAGGGAAGCTAAAGGGAATTTATCCTCTCTGAGGAAATGCTGCTTGGGTCAATTTCTTGGTAGAATGAGAGGTTTCTGGATGAGGAATGATGCAGGTTTACTTGGCGATATTGGTCATGGTGGTAGTGATAATTCTTTGTATTCTAGGAGCTGGTAGCTTATATGGCCCCTCCTCATATTTAATACACACAAAACAATGTTGAAGTTTGACCAGTTCTAGCTCATAAAATAGCAATAGAAACAAGACAGAATAATCAAGTAACAGAGTACAGGAACCCCAAAACTGCACTATCTCCAAGACATCCTCACAGCCTTGGGACTCCCACACAGTTTGGAATTTTAAGTCAGTCTCTCTCTCTCTCTCTCTCTCTCTCTCTCTCTCTCTCTCTCTCTCTCTCTCTCTGTCTCTGTCTCTCTCTCTGTCTCTCTCTCTTTCTCTCTCTCTCTGTCTCTCTCTCTCTCTCTCTCTCTCTCTCTCTCTCTCTCTCTGCCTCGCTGTCTCTCTCTCTGTCTCTCTCTCTGTCTCTCTCTCTCTCTCTCTGTCTCTCTCTCTCTCTCTCTCTCTCTCTCTCTGTCTCTCTCTCTCTCTCTCTGCCTCTCTGTCTCTCTCTCTGTCTCTCTCTCTGTCTCTCTCTCTCTCTCTCTCTCTCTCACACACACACACACACACACACACACACACACACACACACACACACACACACAGCGCAGGACGGGATCCCTTCCTTCCTTCCTTTCCCTGTTCAGGCATGAACAGTTTGGCTCAGTCTCACGCTCCCATCATGATATTCTGCCACACCACAGGCCTGAAGTCCCAGGGCAAAGCGACCACAAACGGAAGCCTCCAACACTGAGCCTCAATAAACCCTTTTCCTTGATACGGTGTGAATTCAGACATTTGCTACAGTGATAGAGAGTCAGGGAACACGTGGCTCACACACAGCAGACCCGAAAGGGGACCAGTGTCACCCAGGAACCAGCCAATATGATCCAAGATCACAGCTTTCCCACGGGCTACTTCTACTCAGCACCTCAGATGAATTCTGAAAAACTGATCATGTAACTAACCAGAGGGAAGACGCCACTATGCTCCAATGTATTGTTTCCTTTAGTATCCCTCCTCTCGTCTTTATGAAAGTGAAAATCTAACTGTGGTCACACAAACATATGTTCTGATACATGTTTCTGTCAGCTGGACCAAAAATACTGCCAAGGCTGGCCCGGGTGTGATGACTTCAATTACGCAGCGTGGAAGGAGAGTGATGTTGCTTTCAAGATTCAGCCAAGACTTTGCAACTTCTCATGTTTGAGGAGAACTGCCTGTGCGGAAGCTCCACGAGTGCGTGTCTAGTAAATGTTCTGTGGGGAAAGACGTTCATCGGGGCACCAGAGACACGGACCAGTGGCGCTAACAAGAAACTGCCATTGGCTGTGTCCTGCAGGGCTTGGACTTTTAAAATTCTGCAGCCACAACTTAGGTATTGAAAGGGTGTTCTTGTGGTTGTGGAGTGTAAGTAAAACCACCCAAGACGCCTTAGAAAGCCCAGGCATACATTCCTCTTCTAGAGGGAGCTCAGTGCCCCACATTTTCTTGGCAGACAAACTACTAGTTTCTTATCCAAATGGTCATCCACTGAGTCGAAAGAACAAAGAGGCTTCAGTGCTAACAAAACCTCACCTGAGACTCTCTCTTTTAACTAAATATCACAGACCTCAGCAGCTGTTACCCAGGCCAGCCCTGGGATGATCTGTAAGTAACCATTGGGACAGGGAGAAAACAAAGCTGTCTATATACATTACAAGAAACCAAAGAAATGGGGGAGAGTCACCAAAGAGACAAGGCAAGAGGGGCTGGGGGGCTTGCTTGGTGGTCAGTGCTGGCCAGGTATGATGAGGTTGTTGGTTCAATCCCCAGTATCACCAATAAAGGAATGGACAAATCAATAAATGTAAGAAACAATGTAACCTTACAACCCATTGCCCCAACACAACCTTCTTGTCAAAATGGGGCCTTACCTGTTAAGATGAGAATTATAATCACAGCTAATATGTCAGGGTTTTGGGCCAGCACCCCAGGGGCATTCAGGGCCATGTGATTCCGTGAGAACTCTCCAATGGGTTTGCCTATCAGCTCGTCAAAAGTCCCACTCCAGGCTCTCGCCACACTTGAAGTACCTGTCACAAAACACGCCACGGTGACAGAGAACAGTGGTTAACAGAGGGCCCCTCGTCAAGTTTGATGTTACAGCACCCATGCAGGGCCACAGAGAGCATGCTGCCACCTAGCGGTGGAAGCTGAGCCCCAGTATATGCTACAACGGGAGGGGTGTATATGAAGTCAAACGCTACCTGGGGCTGCTAGAGCTTAGAAAGAAGTACATTTTATCCTCAACCAAGATCTATACGGTGTGTTTCAGGGCTGTGTGTGCGCGCGTATGTGTATTACACTGATACACAAGAGTAAATCTTGATCATAAATTGAAACTTTGTATTTTTCAACTCTGTGTTAATATAGCAATGGCAATGTGCATTTGGTAGAAATTGCACTTTGAATTTTTTTAAAGGTTTATTTATTTATTATGTATACAGTATTCTGCCTGCATGTATGCCTGCATGCCAGAAAAAGGCACTGGATCTCTTGATAGATGGTTGTGAGCCACTATGTGGGTGCTGGGAATTGAACTCAGGACCTCTGGCAGAGCAGTCAATGCTCTTAACCTGTGAGCCATCTCTCCTGCCCCGCATCTGAATTTCTATCTTTTAAGGGTCTAGCAATATTTCATTTGTAGCAATGCTGGAGAGTGTCAATGACCAGTCGGACCTGCCCTTGAGGGACATGAGTGGACTGGTTGGTTGGGTAGAGGGCCTGCACTTTGGATTGCCTGTATTTGTACTTTCCAGGGGAGCGTTGATTGTCTGACAGGGTCTTGTCACACAGCCTAGGCTGGCCTCAAATCTGCCATCCTCCTCCCAAGTGCTGAAATCTCAAGAGTATACCACAACGTTCATTTTGATACTTTTGTTGAATGATGTACTTATTAGTATGTAACTCGAAGCATCTGTATGTTCAGTTAAAACACACAACATATGTGTATGAGCGTTAATGTGTATGTGTGGATGTGTGTTTGTGTGTGTGTGTACCACAATAAAAACTTACAAATAAATTACTGCCCTTACCAACTGATTCATTCTGACGGCATTTACTCAATTCTCAGTTGAGTTTGACTTACTCAAATGGCAAATACTGTCAAGTCAGGAAATTGACTTTAAAATGCATTCTTGGGATGAGTAACTGGTCAGTCCAGTAAACACTGCTTAGGAAGTCCCCCTCTCCCACGAAGAGCTGGATGGCTCTTGGCAGCAGGGAAAATGGTATCCATGCCCTAAGAACTCATCCCTAAGGTGATCTACAAATGGACCGACACCATCTCAGGGCCAAGCCTACCAGTCAACCCTGATCATCCAGCCTGGCACTTTGTACCTCAACCCAGGGACCATGGTATCCCCCAGGGTGCAGGACCATGGCGAAGGCGCCATCTCACCTCCATGCGCCAGCCCCAGGTGCCCCAGCTACAGAGAGCAAGGGACTGCACCCCAACAGCCGGCGGTACTGGATGTCCCCTCCCCCCCTTTCTCCTTTCATTCTGAAGACGCCCGCTGCCTCTCCAGTGCCGTTGGTCAAGAAAGGATACTGGAAAGCCAATATTCACATCTGGCATTTTCCTTTCATTTCAGAGGGCCTCGTCCATGACTAGGGTCTGAATTTTCCATAGAATGCAGAGGGATCCACACAAGGATTCAACTTCATTATTTGCTCTCATGCTAAGTGTTTTCCCAACAACTCAAACATTGAGCCTCGTTTCTCATCCAGCTCTCAGGAACTCTGTCCATGAAGGCCACGAGTCCACGAAGGCCACGAGCCTTATGGAGAAAAATGGTCTGCCTGCCCTGGGTGCTCAAAGCAGTCAGCTTGCTGCAGTGACATTCCGAACCCCACCCTGCTGGATACCCTAGCCTCCTTCCAGGCCACGCTGTTCCCATTTCAGAATCACGGCTTTAAAATGCAGAAACATACGCACACTTTTTTTTAAAACCTGAAAAACTCTCCTTTCTCAGTAGCTAAGGCTGAGTATAGATTTCCAGATCGTTTTCGTGAGTCTTACACAGGCAAGTAGCACTCCGGCAAAGACTATTATTTTGTTGGTCTAACAGCAGCAAACACTGCTTTAATCTGACTGTTATTTTACGCCCAGGTAAACCGACTGGAAATGTAACAGCCCATTTACAGAAGCTACGTTCCCACGGAGAAGGGTTGGTATGTGAGAGTCATCTGTGGTTACAAGTCTGAAGGCTGCACAGGGAAAGAAAAGTTATGAATTTTACATTAGAACCATTAGAGGAGGCTCTGCTGCGTCGCACACACTGTAGCTGCTGGGAGAGAGAAGGACCGTCTACTGGACGTCCGAGCCTCTGCCTGATAGCCTAAGGAAGTAGCTACAGCATCCCCCATGCAGACATGACAGACAGGTCCAGGAGGTCCCTGAAGGTGGCTCTCACAGGACCATGTCCAGATTTCCTTGTGGGAGTGGACTGAGTTTTCATGGATGGTTGTGTTTAAGGCTAATGGTCGGTGCAGTATATGAAGAAAGGCTGGGTGGGATGGGGACCAGAGTGAACAATGGTTTTAAAATAGGCAGAAATGTCGACCTAGACATTCTGCCTCTTCAATAGTTTCAAGGGGGAAGAAACTGTGGCTGTGTCTACAGGTACACAAAGTAATTATTTATGAAAACAACAGATATGATCCAAACAATGCAGAAGGCCATTTGGTAAGGTATCCTGTACTTATAAACCTACATATATACAATGATACACAGTCAGTAGGAATACTGTCATGGAGAAACCATTAGGATATTTTGGTTTATAAAGAGATTAAAAATACATATCCTTAGGGGTTGGGAGTATAACTTGGTGGAAAGACGTATGTCTAGCATTTTGCAAGGTTCTGAGTTCGATGTCCCTAACTTGTTAACAATGGGCAGCCCCTAGCTGTTCAAACCGTGCCACACACCTCCAGGAAAACGGCTTGCTCAAAGCAATACTCAGCAAACACTGTTTCTGCTGGTAATCAGGTTGGGTGTTTCTCGTCTTTGTGCTTTTCTGTTTCCCAAAGTGTCGTCTATCACGATATATTTACTGTAATAATCGGGGGGCGGGGGACTAACAAAAAGAAAACTATGTTTTAAAATTGGAATTATCCTATCAGCCATGTATCCATTGAGTTAACAAGAATGGTCATAGTCGTCCTGGCTTGATATCTCCTCCCCCCCCACACCCACCCCGCCTCACGGGTGCCGCGCTGGTTAGTTTTTTGTGAACTTCACACAAGTCGGAGTCATCTGGGAAGAGAGAGCCTTAACTAAAGGATCATTTCCACCAGAATGGCCCGCAGGCAAGTCTTCGGGGCTTTTTCATGATTAATGATGGATGTGGGAGGGATGAGCTGACTATGGGTGCCAGCCACCCCTGGGCCGGTGGTCCTGGGTTGCATAAAAGAGCAAGCCGAGTAACCGTGAGAGAAAGCCAGTAAGAAGCATCCCTCCATGTCCTCTGCTTCAGCTCCTGCCTCCAGCCTCCTGCTCTGACTTCCCTTACTGATGGAACGTAATCTGTCAGGTGAAACACACCCTCTCATCATCCCCAAGTCGCTCTAGGCCCCGGCGTTTATCACAGCAACAGAAAGCCAACTAGAACAGACTCAGAGCGAGAGAAGTCCCAACAGTGACTCCTGAAGACACCTTGATCCTGCTAGAAGCGAGAGGCACACAAACAGCGGCCAAGCTGGAGAGCCCCCTGGAGATTACTAGGTCAGTCTTTTGGGAGAGGAGAGCAGAGCATCCCTCATGAGCAGGGGTCAGAGGTCAAAGGCTGCAGGCTGGAGGGGCCCAGAGGACGTACCAATGATGTAGGAGAGAATCAGGTTCCAGCCGGTGATGAAGGCCCAGAGCTCCCCGACCGTCACGTAGCTGTAGAGGTAGGCCGAGCCTGTCTTGGGGACACGGGCTCCGAACTCGCTGTAGCACAGGCCAGCCAGCACCGAGGCCAGGGCAGCGATCAGGAAGGAGATGACGATGGCGGGACCGGCATCCTCACGGGCCACCGCACCAGCCAGGACGTAGACACCGGCACCCAAGGTGCTGCCCACCCCAAGCGCTACCAGGTCAAAGGTGTTGAGGCAGCGGGACAACCTGCTCTCCTCCCGGCTGCAGTCCACCACCTTCCGGCGCAGCATCTGCTGACCCAGGCCGAGCAGGTTTTTGCAACCCATCGTGCTGGGCAAACCTGTCAGAAAAGAGAGAGAGGGGTGGTGTTGGGTTCCGTCACCGCCACCTGTTCCCCCCGCAAACCTCGCTTTGCTGCAGGACGGAACACGGGGGTGACGCCTTTTACAAAAAACACTGCTGCTAACATGCTCTCAGTTTAGCCTTCCACCAGCAGCCGTCAGACTCCACAGGGACAGTCTGGGGGGCTTCCCGGGACAAACAGGAACACACAGCTGCCCTGCCCCACGTCTCTGGGCCTCCACATCCCCTGCAGTTCTTATGGGTACAGGTGACGGCTAACTGAGAGCACAGGGAGTGACAGACACTGTTCCCAAGCTCAGCTGTGACTTATCAGGACAGACAAAATGCAATTTCAAGTACACTGTGTTACAATGAGATGCATACCAAACTGTATCGTAATGGCTGAAACGCCCAAGTCTTGAACGGGACGGTAGTTCAGCAGTTCTCAACCTGTGGGTCAAGATATCCTGTATACCGGTGTATCACATTACATAAGAGTAGCAAAATCACGGTGATGAAGTGGCAACGGAGTAATTTTATGGTTGGGGGTCACCACAACATGAGGAACTGTATTATAGGGTCGCAGCCATAGGAAGGTTGAGAACCACCGTTCTAGGCCATGGGATTCACCCCTAAAATGAATAAACAAATACAAATAACAGAAAAAAATGGGCATGGGATTGATGAGAAGTCTGAACTATCTTCATCATTTCCCTCTAAATGCAAAGCTATTCTCAGACGAAGAGTTTACGTCAACATCAGCAGAGTGATGTTGGGCTGCTATAGCTTGGTTTTTCCATTCCTCATTTTTCCTCTTTATCAACTGGTCTTTTGTTGACCTAACTTAGGTCAACAATGAAGTCACTAATAAATGAAATAGTCTCAGGTCTGGAAAATTCTACCCCTAACCATCCACGGCACTGTAGCCCCTGCCTGTCTCCGTGCCCCACCCCTCCCCGGGGCCTCACATCATGGCAGGTCACTAAGGAACTGTGGCTGTTTGTTCCTGTGTTTCATCTGCCGGCTCCATCGAAAACAGTATCATCAAGACTAGTAAGATGTTTAGTTAGACCCGGGAATCCCCCTGTTAGATGGGGAAAAGTAACTTGTAACTAGGGTCAAACGAGGTCGCAAGGCTTGCAAGGCTCTTCTCCTCAGTCTGGGATCCTGGCAGCCCGTCAGGAAGTGACACCTAAGGGAGGCGGAATCTCAAGGAAATGGGAAACATGGACAGGTCACTGAGAGGGGAAATCCCAGAACCCACAGTTTGCAACCCATGTAAGAGAGTGCGATGGCTTTCCAGTGTCTACACCAGGAAGAGACTATTTTTGGACGTATCCACGCCAGGTGCAGACGCTGGGCGTGTTTCGGCTAAGCAGGCAGCGTGCCTGGGAAGGAGAAAAAAAAGCCACCTTCCTGCACATCGGGACAAGGCTCTGGGTGCCAGAAGCAGGAAGCACTGAGTCCAGATCCTGCTGGATACTGGGGGCACGTGGACAAAATCTACTAGTGAATAGGTATTTGGGTTAGACGTCGACCGGGAAGGTTCAGCTTTGACAAACGACCCTGGGCACAGAAGGCTGTACTCTAGAGTATGAAAAGAACGTCGCAGCCCTAGGGGTGGGACTCAGCGCTGGAATGCTTGCCTAGCATGCATGTTGCCCAGCACTCCGGCCCCATCACGTTTTAAAAAAGCAAAAAGTAGAGTAACTTTTCCACATTGCCTCTAGAAAGCCATACCCCAGGAACAGAACCTCCTTAAGGCAGAAAGTGAACTCAAAGACCCCAGACTAGGACAAAATGGCTCTTTTGGCTACGCCTGGGTGCAAACGACTTAGGTACAGATGTACCTGTGTCCCCACCAGCACAGACAGGACCCCAGTGAACACCCACTCCAAGAACCAACTCGCCGATGTTGAAGGGATTTCAAAGCCACCTTCAGACTGAAGATCATTAACCAGACCCAGAGATCTTGGCTTCCGGGCATCACATGAAGGGGGTAAGACAGTGTAACCACAGGGCTGCAGCTCTCGTGCCCCTAAATATATGCACATCAGTGGAGCCCTTAATACCAGGGAAGTGAGAGGGGCACAGCTGGACCTAGGCTGCGCCAGGTGCTGTGAGACACCTAGTTAGGTGTCCACTTCTGCCTCGTGGGGTGAGAGGAATGTGATACAAATTCACTAAACTCAGGGTTTATTTTAAGAAGCACCCTTTGTGTCTCTTCAGAGATATTTCAAAACTCTCAGAAAGGTGTTATCAGTGGTTTCTTTCTACACATGGGTCCCCTCTTCCACTCAGACCAGGCCTCTGAAGCGGGTCTTACAACCAGCAGTGACGAAAGAGATGAGATTTCTCTGTACAAAACTAACCTATCCATGGCAACCCCGGCATTCAGGTGGAGGCCGACGTCCTGCTGCTGAGACTCAAACCGGACGCCGCAGGAAGCCATCAGGTGAGAAAAATGCGGTCTAGAGACCACGCTACCAGGCTGGAGGGATGACGTCTACACATGCCCAACTGATTTTTATTATAGGCATTGATAAGGCTCTTTGCGACATAAAGTCGCTGCCCCATCATATTCCATACTGATGATTGTAAAACCCTTGCCTTAGGGTAGTCATCTGTCCCCTTCTCACAGAAATTCTAACTCCAGATTGTGTCCTAGCTATCACCAAATAAAACCACAGTGACAGAACTGGACGGACGGCTCGGTGGTTGAGGGCACGCACGGCTCTTCACAGAGGACCTGAGTTCAGTTCCCGCTGTTCACATCAGGCTGCTCACAAATGCCTGTAACTCCACCCCCAGGCAGATCTGCTAGCGCTGGCCTCCATGGGTGTGTGTGTGTGTGTGTGTGTGTGTGTGTGTGTATGTGTGTGTGTGTGTGTGTTACACTCAATTAAAAACAATAAAAAATAAATCTTTTAAAAAACAGAAGTAAAATGCCAGGTGATGGTGGTACACACCTTCAATCCCAGCACTCAGGAGGTAGAGGCAGGAGGATCACTGAGTTCGAGACCAGCCTGGGCTACAGAGGGAGTTCCAGAACAGCCAAGGCAACTCAGAGATAATAACAATAACAATAATAACAATAAATGATAGGAGTAAAATGATCCAATAGGTCAGGGCCTCATAAAGACTTCCTTGGGCTCTATTTTTTAAATCTCTAAGTTCGAAGTTATGAGTGATGTGACCTTTTCAGTCTCAAATTTAATCAGATTCTGTCCAGTCTGATGGTTTGTGGGAAAGAGGGGTCTGAAAGAGGCTATTAAACGCTGTTCCCAAATACCATCCTTTAAAACCTTAACACCCTGACTCTTTCCTGGGTTTTCAGAATGGCCTGTTCCCTAATGCCCACCTCCGACCAGCTGTCTGGTATGAAGCACTAACCTATCAGTCATTCCAGTGGGGGACAGATGGCAGTCTGCAGTGGCACAGGGTTTAAGAAACCACACCACACAGTCGCGAGAGGAAACACAGGGGGCTGGCCGTCCCCTGCACCTAGGGGGCTATGGCGGGAGGGAACATGGAGCTTTCATAAGGAAGGGCAGGGTGCTCACAGCTCGGGGACCTGCCACCAGAGGTCCACAAACGGGCATTCTGGGATGCTGGCCACGGTGGAGGAGGAGAATTGACCTGGTGGGGGAGAAGGTTAGGGAGGAGGAAGTGATTTCAAAGCAAGACCCACTTCCCCTGCAGATGTTAGCCAGCCCAGATGTGAACTTGAAATAGGAAAAAAAAATCAAATCACATCAGGGTGCAGCCAGGACCAGTATAGAACCAACCAAGGGTGACATCTGGAGTGGGAAAAGCCTTGGAGCTGTGTGCAAGGAGCAACCAGGCCGGAAGCAACCAAGGTCCAAGTAAGCAGCAACCAAGGACACAGAAAGGGAAAGGAGAGGAAGACAGTCGCCATGACTGTGGTGGTCTGGATGAAAATGGCCCCACAGGCCCATAGGGAGTGGCACTGTTAGGAGATGTGGCTCTGTTGGAGTAGGTGTGGCCTTGACGGAGGAAGTGTGCCTCAGTCTCTTCCTGCTGCCTGCAGATCAAGATGTAAGCCTCTCAGCTCCTTCTCCAGCACCACGTCTGCCTGCCCGCTCCCATTATTCTCCCTGCCACGATGATAACGGACTGAACCTCTGAAACTGCAAGCCAGCCCCCATCAACTATTTTCCTTTCTAAGAGTTTCCGTGGTCATGGCGTCTCTTCACAGCAATAGAAACCCTAACTAAGACAAGGACCATGGCCAAGATGACCAAAGAACTGACCTAAGAAAGTCACTTCCGGTCTGTGGTGAATTTACCTGTTCACACGGCACTGGATCCTTGACCCAGGGGACTCCAAGGGTACAAAGCACAAAAGAGCAAGTGTGAGGACACACTGCTCTTCTGGGGAGGAGGGGTGTCAGGAAGGAAAACCTCAGCATTTTAATATGCATCCCAGGAGGACCTTCATTCACAGAAACCCAGTTCATAACGTGTGGATCAACACATGAGAGGGTCACAAATACTGAAGGAAATACTGGACGTCGCTAAGTGAAAAAGACAGAGAAAGGGTCCCTGCAGTCCAACAAGAGCTGTGAATAACTTGTAGTAATAGTAGGGAAAGCAATGCAGCCATTAAAACAATCATGCACGCCTGGCGTGGTGGCGTACACCTTTAATCCCAGCACTCGGGAGGCAGAGGCAGGCGGATCTCTGTGAGTTCGAGGCCAGCCTGGTCTACAGAGTGAGATCCAGGACAGCCAGAACTGTTACACAGAGAAACACTGTCTCAAAAAAAAACAAAAACAAACAAACAAACGAAACCGCACAGGAGCTAGAGAGATGGCTCAGCAGATTAAGAGCGCTGCTGCTCTTCCACGGGACTAGGGTGCGGTTCCCAGCACCCATATGGCAGCTCAAAACCAAATCTGTAACTCCAGTTCCAAGGGATCTGATGCCCTCTCTGGGACTCCATAGCACTGCATACATGTGATCAGAAATATACATT